CATTATATATGGGCATTATATATGGGCATTATTAATGGAAATTATATATGGATATTATCATAGCGTTTATACAAACTTAAGAAAAACATATGGATATTTAATTATAATTATATAATAATGTTGTCCTCTTATAATATTAATCTGTTTATATATTTTATTGTAATAATTTTGTGATTGTTATAAAGAGGAATGAATATCTTTCAATGTAATAAATGTAATTAATGTAATAATGTAATAATGTAATAATGTAATAAATGTAATAATGTAATAAATGTAATAATGTAATAAATCTAATAAATGTAAAAATGTAATAAATGTAATAAATGTAATAAATGTAATAATGTAATAAATGTAATAATGTAATAAATGTAATAAATGTAATAAATGTAAAGCTTATTAATGTATGTAGTCATGATAATTGTATGTCGTATATCATAAATGTATAATACAAATGTTAAATAAATTTCTACAAATATTTTCATAAACTCGTGTGTTTTATTCCTTATCCTTCTTGTCGCTAATATATAAATTTATCATCTGTATTAATGTGTATCATATATAAAAATATACATCTACTAACATATGGTCGATAATAATGTTCGCCTAACATACTGTAGCCTAAACAAATATTTAATTTAAACTAATATTTAATTACCAATTTTTGTCATTCACAACATATGTAACCTAACTCACAATTTTGCTCTGATTTGTTAAAACTATATAACGATAAAACTGACATACACTTCATTAAATCTTCGTAATTAATTTCTTTATTTTTCCTACGTAAAAAACGTGATAAGTATTTTTTACCAAAGATCATTATAGACGTTGAAATTTAACAGAAATCATCACATCATAATTTAACTCAACACAAAAGAAATATTTTTAAAAAATTATATTTTTAAAAAATATTTTAAAAAATTATGTTTCTATTCCATATAATTACATTCTATTTTTTAACACCGCAGTTCCATGAAAAATTAAAAATCGAGGAACGTAATACGCGAATAACAATATGCTTCACTAACAGAATTATTGTAATACTGCCGTATTGTGTTTGCTTGAATTTTAGCTTGTGATTCTAACAATATATTTACGTAAACTATCTGTTAGAAAACCCTCTGTTTCCTCGCAGTTACGAGAGTTTTTAGTAACTCATATCCTTTCTTCCAGCACGCATTCCATTAAAAGAACATTTCGTTGAAAGGATGAATGACGAAACATCCCAGTGGAAAAATTTCACAGTGTGTATTCGAGTTTAATTACTACTTACTTGATTCACTAATATACAACGAAAACTTTACACAATATACACCTTTTATCTAATAATTTTCTTGTCTCACGAAAGTATGTACTCAGTAAAAAATGATATGCGAAAATTTGTAAAGTTATTATTAATCTATAAATACTTAACAATTACACGTTCGTTTGGTACATTTTTAAAATTTTCTCGAGAAAGTCTCACTTTTTATTCGTTATCTGACTTCTCTGAATGTAATTCATTGAAATATAATACATAAAATATATTGAAATTTCTAAATTGAATTTTAAATATATTCGATGCTGTACGATCTAAATCAAATGTTTAATAAAATTTCGGCACAAATTACTGCAATGAATTATTGCTACGTACAAATCATTTGTTTTATAAGTGCAGAGAATTCGAGACGCTTGACATACCAAAATCATGTTAAAAATATCCTCGCCTATTTAGAAGTAATCCAATTCTATTCACGCTAAACAGGACATGTTGCCAATGACCTAATAATCGATTCTAAGACAATAAAAATTCTCGAATTTTATTCTTTATTTTGTTTCTTTTTTTCTTTCTCTCTGTTCACTTGAATATATGTACCATATGTTATTACGACAGTAAAGCTAATATAAATAAATATAAATTAAAACGTATCATAACTAAGAACACTTTTAATTTTAAAAAAATAATTGAATTTTATAAATTTTATAAATAAATTTTTTTGAATTTTAAATAAATTTTAAATAAATAATTGAATTTTCGACATTTACGTGAAGCTTGGCGCTTTTTCCCAACGACACTCGATTAAAACATAATTAATTATTTACTATTTAAAATATTCTGAAATTCTTGTGAGATCCGTGCCGTTCGAGATCGAGACTGCTGTGACTTCATCTGCTAGCCTAATTTCTCTTGTCGATGATGCTACTCTGGGATCAGCGTTTGTCCATCACTTCGACACAATGATGGCCACTTCAAGCGTTCTCCCCTTAGAATTGGGACTCTATGCTACCTCACCTGTCGAAAGTCACGTGGAACATGACAATTATAAATACAATACAAAACGAATGAAATAATTTCGGCACAATTCGGCATAAGTCTGCTCTTAGTTTCGACTGTGGTCTCTTTTAAGGTGAGTA